TTTATTTTCCTTAAGGTATAAACAACCTAATTATTCAGTCTTAGAGCTGTTATAACAGAAAAACTTGGTTATTGGGTCGTATGAATATCGGCTGTTTTTTTTAAATCATATTGAATTGTCCATCCCACCCAAAAGTCAGGGAACAAAAACTGACACACTGTGCAATAAATAGCTCAAGATGATCATAAATTACTTATATGAGGCTTCAGTTAAATAAAAGTCAATTTTAGGTGTGGCTTTTTGCAAAGTGTGACAATTTTACAGAGCACAAGAAAGAAATGAGAGGAACTAACGCACAGGTTCAGGAAAAAAAAAAAAAAGGTGGTAAAGTGTGCTTTAAATGCAGGTTACTCCAGGCTAATTAGAGGAGATCATTATTCAAATTGTCCGCTTAAATTTAAATCAAATGGATTTATTTTAAAAGGTTATCAGTCCATGATTCCAATATAGATTGTATAACCTGACTCTGTCCTACAACAATTTTCTACTCATTCTTACCACCTTTGCTAGTTTGCCTGTATAAATAAAAAAAAAAATAATAAATGAATAAATAAATAAGTAAAAAGATGAAATTCACTAAATAAAACCCAAATAAGTCAAAGCATCTAAACTTCGGGTAGTGTCAGTTAGTGTCGCTTAAACAGACTGCTTGATTGTTTGTTGGTTGTACTTTTATGCAGCCGAGAAACATGAGACTTGACTATTGTCAAGTCTCTTGTTTCTCTGAAAACAATCAATTAAAAGGAAGCTTACTAATGTGTTAATATGTTTTTATCAATCAATTGATAACTAATCAACTGTTTAATTGCTTTTTTTTACTCTACAGCTCAACAGTTTCATACAGTGAATCTTAATGAAGCCAACCACTCTTTTTTTTTAATAAATCCACTTTTCAGTTATAAAAGAAGTTCAAACCTTGTTTTTCAAATATATCTGGAAATAATCCACTGCTACGTGTGGATTATAGTAACAGTCTCATACTATAATCTTATTGCTGAAAGATGTTGCATTGGGATAAGTGACCCTACTGCTGCTTCTGCACCCACACAGACAAAACAGACAGGAGGCGATTCATCTTAACATGTAACGTCTCTTTACTTCGAACAAAATGACACTGTTTGTAACTGAAGGTCGAGCTTAGATCGCTTGTTTGTCAAACCAAACTGTCTACAGCTTTTTTCAGTTCCCAGTATGAGGAACCAAATAAAAACTTTTTATTTTTTTAAGGAAATCACTCCAGGACAGCTGCCTGTACAGTAGTTAGTGTATTTATTTAAAAAGACAAATAGTTGTTTGACTTAAAACACTTGCCATCTAATTCACGACAAGATATTTTTCGTTTTGAATAAAAAACATTTTATGTTGCACTATGATGATGGAATTCTAACAGTAATGTTTCTCCTGGCATTCTGTAATAAAGTTTAAATTCATCATAAAAAGTTATTTTTTTATTTTTTTGAAGTAGAAATAAACAAACTTTTACCCCTAGATGGGCTATTTCTATAGACCAAAGCAAGATGTGTGACAGGTCATGCATCTCTTCGCATCCACTTGCAACCTTTTGCGACCGCTACCGGACGCCCCACACAGCATGTGCACATTTGCAGAGGGCAGCAAAATAGCATAACCTTTTGGATGGACGTGTCTAGTGAAGAAATAAGTAATTTTTACCTTTATTTAGAACTTCATTTTGACAAATAATCATCTTTTGGTTACATTTTTGTTTCTTTAGATGCACTCTCTGCCATTTTGCTTCAAAAATACTTTGCAATCTTTTGGCATGGAAGAGGTAAACCAACTACTAACATACTTGTACATGCTGGGCTAGCCCACTCGTCAACAACAGACATATGTAAAACATGTTGTGTATCATCATACCATGTTCTCTCCAAAACATTTCTTTTTGTGTTCCTACTTCTTTTTATCTAAAAGAACAACCTTTTTCTCTTACTCTTACTCTTTTTTTTTTTTTTTTTTTTACAGTGTCCTGTTTGGCAATAAGAATAATTTTCTTGTAGCCAAAAAGAGCCCAATAAACCAGCACCTAGATACCATCGCTGAAATATATTATTTAGTCTGATCTTTATACTGTGGTAACTGAAGATAAGAATATCGGCTTTCTGTATGAGGGTGAATCTCTGAGTACCTGGAACCTGTAGTTGAGAGTGTAAAATGCTCAATAGTGGTTGAAGAGCCAATGATGCGTCCCCCCGAGAGCGCAGAGGCAAGCACTGGGGGACCCAAAAACCCAGATGCCCAAAGGGAACCCCAGAGCAAAGGTGCCAAAGAGTAGCCTTGTGAGACCATCCTGATCTCGCAAGCTTTCAAGATGTCACTCGCTAATCAGTCTGGAGACTCTCCGTAGAAGAAAATTTGGAGCCGTTCACCAAACAAACATCCAATCAGCATTGGCTTTGAGGCGGGTTGAGGTGTGATGCAACGAGAAGCGCGACAGTTCAGTCCAAAGAACATGGCTGCTTCAGCCAATGAAACTAGCGTTAGCGTGGCTATCGAGCAAGTTTTATCGGAATTACAGAGTATTTCTTCACTGAAAGAAGAGCAAAACACTGCTCTGGAGGCTTTTCTCAGAAGAAAAGATGTTTTTGCTCTTCTCCCGACTGGTTTCGGCAAGAGTAGCCTGGCTGTTAGTACATCATATGCTTCGTTGATCTGATTGGTTTATTTGGCCCGTCTATCACCAACATAGGCCAATCAGCTAACCAGTATTTTCGCCCCTTCCCAAAATTACTTCAACCGAAGGTTTCCAGATGGATTTGCTCCGCATATCCATCTGGCGGAGTCAGGTTAGCCAAAGAGAGGCCAACCCAGGAAATCTGCTCCCCCCACCAAGGGAAGGGGAAAGACGGCCCAGAGGAAATCCCCCAGCCACCGCAATACAAAGCCCCCAGGAGTCGCGGGGACGAGCCCATGGGCTCCGCCTGCCGCCAGCCACTCCTTTAATGGTGATTACTTGGATCAGCTAAGGGCTTTGACAGGCTTATAATTTACTCATAGCAGAGTAACAAAAACATTTATTTCATGAGTATTCATTTATAAGGTATAAAAAAATATATATTAGTACATCCCAGGAAGAAAAGGGCTGATAAGTTAGTACAATCCACCATACATTGTAGTTTCTGTATTGTACAAAATATAACTCTGCAAGGTACTATAGTTAAAAGTGCACCCACATTGTAATTCCTTTATGTTTTTTAAAGCACTCTAATGACATTCTTAATATATAATATATAAAATGACCCATAAATTATTAATAGGAGTTGTATACACACTGCATATAGCATAAATGTTTGTGTCACTGCAGGTTAATTAGGCTCTGAGAGGCAAGCTGGGTTTTTACTGCCAGTCTCCAGCCTTGCACTCAGCACACTATCTCCTCTCCTATGTGCTACATCAGCTGCGGGGGAGGACTACTAGTTTCCACATGGCTAAACTGAAGATGAATTATACTGCTTCACGGGAAGGTAAACCAGATCAGATCTTGTGCCCATTCATATAGATAAATGAAAAGTTAATCAAATGTCATGTTTTTGTAAGAATTATTCATGCTATTCTTGGACAAACTATTTACTCAACAGTCTCTTCTGGTTAATGTTGGTTAAATCTGGAACTAATCAATAAATAACAACGGGCACAATCCAAATTGTTTCTTCATGAAAGTTTTTTTTTTTATATATATATAATTCAAAACAATCAATTTAAAATACAAGTAAAACTGCAGTTTAACTTGAATATGTTTGGCTCAATCTGCTGCTGTAAAGCAGGATTTCCCTCCATTAACATAATCAAAAATAAATGTTGATGCTTGATATGTGCTTTAAAATTACTTTTAAACCCAGGTTTAAAAGCCTTGCAGGGCAGCCTAAAGCCCACTTCTCTCATTAAGCATAGAAAACAAAAACAAAACGGTCAGTTCAAGTGTTTTATAAAAAAAAGCGAGTCAGGAAATTGTCTCTATACCAAACTGAAAGATTGTTGTTCTCTATTTCAAAATCAATTTAGATTTTGAAATTTAAAACGTTCAATTTTTTTATTTAAAAAGTCAATGTATAATATGGATGAATAAACATCTGCATTTCATTTTAGTTTTAAATTCTGTTTAAAGTAACGGATTATAATTAGAAATGTCTCCAGACCTTTACTAGTTGTTGATTTTCTTTATTCAGACCCCGCTGATTTTTAATTGGTTAAGCCTGCACTACGGTATATAACTCTTCTAAAATCTACTCTGCTATATCATAATATACTATACCATACCATGCTATGCCATGTCACTGTCTACCCAGCAAACACACACATTTGGGGCCCAAATGGGGCATAGCAGGGCTAATATTAGGGGCCCATTTGGGAACCCCAACTGGCACCCAACTAATTTTGTCCTCAGTTTCCATGGTGGCCCCAAGTGTGTTTGCCCAGTTGGGTTTATGATGGGCCTTGGATGGGCCCTACATTGTTCCTAGCCAGCGATCACATGTGGGAGCTAAATGGGTAAAACTGGGTTTAATATGTGGTGCCTGCTCGGGCTACCCACCTGGGACCCAGCTGTTTTTGTCCTCAGTTTCCATGGTGGCCCCAAGTGTGTTTGCCCAGTTGGGTTTGTGATGGGCATTGAATGGGCCCCAGCTTATATCCTGACAAACACAGGTGGGGTCCAGATGGGTGGAAGCAAGGCTGATATTTGGGGCCCACTTGGATTCCCCACATGGGACCCGGCTATTTTTATCCTTTTTAAAATTGACCTCCATTCCCCAAGGTGCCTATGATGGGATTTGGATGGATCTCATGTGAAAACCTACTTAATCCAAAAGGTGGATCGATAGTTTTTTTTTTACACCATATGGGTACAAAATATCCTCCATTTCCTTAAGAGTGGACCACAAACACAAATTCTTATGCCTTTTTAGAAAGGCTATCCATTCTTCAATATTTAACAAAGCCTAGAGTAAAAGTCCTAATTTGATAAAACTATTCTGATTTAAATAACTTGTACAACAAAGCCTGTTTGTTTTTTTTTTATTAAGAATGCTTAATATACAATTTTTAAACAGTTTTATGAAACAACATATTTTGTATAGAGAACATGTTGACAAAAAGGTTACAGAGATGCAAAAGTATTCAAAATATGTAAGTATGAGCTTTTTTGATAGAAAGAAACAGCAAACCACTCATCACTCATCTTCCGATCTGTCGGTCCTGGAAAAACAAAAAATTAGTGCACTTTGTTTTGTTTTTTTTGTTTTTTTTTAGCAAATAGCATCAGATTTATTACTGGGCTAGACAATCAGCCTCTGAAAATTAACTGCTCTTGCTACTGGAATATAGTATTTCGAGCTCCAGTATACTCCACTTTCACATCAAATGTCTGCTTAAAGCTGCAGTTGGTAACTTTTTAAAAACTAGTTTGTTACATTTTAAAAACTCACCATCCGTGGCAGAATAGCATAAGAAGGATCTGTCAAAATTTAAAAACTCATTTGCCTTGATTTTGGCAGCACCATTTATAACTAAATCAAAATCTTAACAGTGAATCGATGTGATCAGTATCAGGGATCAGCAGCATAAAACCTACAGTCGTGCTCAAGATTACAAACAGCCTCCAATTAAAGAAAATGCTAAATTCAAAGTAGCAATTATAACAGAAAATTGAAAAAAGCAATAATAAATACAACTTTACAAAATCATAATGTAGTGAAATAAAATGTTGCTTTTAAATTGCGGTTGGAAATAATGGTTAAAAAAAAATAATCAAAGTAAAACTGTGTCAGACACATTAGATCACCTTTCCTGTGAAATGTACAATGAAACGCCTCTTAACAGGTAAGTCCTTTTATACCTTACAGAAAAAAAACAGAGCAGTGATTGTCTTAAAGGGTTGCTCAACAAAATGTTTGTTTCAGAGCCCTATCATGCTTGTTCACTTGTCAGATTTTTAATGTTTGTTTAACATTTCTTTTGAAACACAATTCAAATTCAGTGTCATGATTTTCATAGAACTTTTATTTATTATTACTTTGGTCAATTTCAACTTATTTTACAGACAGATTTTTTTTTCTCTTCTTTATTTGGAGGTTATTAATACTCTCGAGTACCACTGTAATCAGAGTATCCCTGACATCCTAAACTGAATTTTTTTAAAAGACTTAAAGTATCCCAGGGCCCAAGGGACATTTCTCCAACGGGAAATCAATAAATGAAGCCCTTAAACCTAATAATGAAAGAGAAAATATTTGTACCTAACCCCATCTGAATTGAAGGGGGAAAAAAATAATCCCAGTCAAAACAACTACGGGTTTAAAAGCTAAAAATTTGGGAATACTTAAAAAACTTGATTTATTTCAGTAATTGCTTTCAAAAGGTGAAAACCTTGTACATTATATTTATTCATTGCACAAAGACTGAGGCATTCAAATGTTTATTTAAATTAAATTTTTGTGTTTTTAAAGGGGCCCAAAAAAATAAAAATCCAAAATTCATGTCCCCAAAATTTTAGAATATTGGAAAGGGTTACATTTTGAAGACCCCCAGGTGCCACAAATTAATACCCCTAAATTAACTAAAAACACCAAAAAAGGGGGCTTTAAATGGTCTCCCCCAGTCCAGTTGGAACCGACAAAAAAACTTTTGGGGAAAAACTTAAATTTTTGACGGGCTGCCCAAAAGGGCCGCCCAAACGACAAATTATCAAGGGGGAAAGACACAAAAGGTTATTGCTAAAGAGCTGGCTGTTCTCAAAAAGCTCAGTGCCCCAAACACTTTAAAATTAGAGAGGCAAAGGGAAGAAAAAAACGGTGGTCAGAAAAAAAGTTTTACAAGGGGATGGGGAAATCACTGCGCCCTAGCCCAAGGGATTGTGAAAAAAAAAACAATTAAAAAAGGGTTGTGTGGGAGATCACAAGGAGTGGAACCAGTTGCTGGAAGTCAGTGAATCCAAGATCCACCCCCCAAGAGACGCTTGAAAGACTTTGGGTTTAAACCCTCCCCGCACCCCCTCGTGTAAACCCAATGTTGACCAAGGAACCAGCGCGAAAAACGTTCACCGGGCCCAAAGGGAAAAAAAAAAGGGGCTGGATTTTGGGCGAGGGGTCCAAAGTTTTGTTTTCTGCCCAAAGAAATTTTTAGCATTTCCTTTGGAAAATCGAGGCCCCCAGAGTCTGGGGGAAAGAAAAGGAAAGGGGACAGGACCCAGGGTTCCCTGAAGTCTAGTGTAAATTTTCCACCATCAGTGAGGGTTTTTGGGGTGCCTTTCTTTCAGCTGGTTTTGGGTTTCCACTCTTTTTTCCTGAGATCCGGGGTCAACGCGGGCCGTCAAACCAAAGCAATTTTTTAGAGCACTTCATGTTTCCCCTGCTGTTTTGACCTGCTTATGGGAGGGGAATTTTTCGGGTTTCCCAAAACAGGACTTGGCGCCTTTTGCCCCACAGCGCAAAATCTCCCCCCCGGGGCCTGGTTTAGGGAACCATGGTTTTCCCTGTTCAAAATTTGGCCCAAGCCAGCCCCCCTGCCCTTAGCCCCATAAAAAAATCTTTGGCTTTATTGTGAAAAGGAAGATGCAGAATGCCAGCCCCAAAAAAACGCAAAAGAGTTAAAAGGCCACTATCGGGAGAAACCCGGGGCCCTTTTATAACCCCTTGGGGAAGGGGCCAGAAACCATCCCCCTCCATCCCAAACGCCGCATTAATCCCAGAAAATTTAAAGGAAAAAAGGAGCCCCAAACCCAGTTTTGAGTTTTGGGTAAAAGCTCTATTTTTAATTTTCATACTTTCATTTGGCCAAATTTTTTTAAAAAACCCCTTTTTTTGTATTTAGTTAAAAGGGTACGGGGTGTAATAATTAAAAGGGTTTTAAACAGCCAGAAATGTAATATTTTATAATAACTATGTTATTTTTTCATCATCTCGAGTCAGCCTCTTAACCTTAACATTTGCTTTTTTAGAATTCGTTTTTTAAAAAATTTACAATGGGGCGGGCTCGGCAGCCAATGGAGGCAGACACCCCCCCCTTTGGGCCTACGGCAGGCGAGCCAAAAACAAATCGGAATTCCCGAAAATCCCCCAAAAAACGTAAACAACGACGTAAAAAAGGGATAACGGGGTATATTTATTATTTTAAAGGGTTTTCATGAAATTTATACCCTACACAGATTTAATAAAAATACTATCTGTAAAATTATCAAAGAAAACAAAATGCTGAGAAGGTTCTCATCATCCGGCGTAGTCTTTCCAAAAAAAATATAAAAATATCCACGGAAACGGGGTTTTAAAGGATTTGAAACAGGTTCAGATTTTTAACAGGCTAACGGGGGGGGACTAAACGCCCCTTTTCATGGGGTTACCTTTTGCATTTTTCCCCAGCAAATCCCAAGGCTTTGCCCCTATATAAGACCCCAAACTCATTTGCGGTCCAGACATTTAAATTTGGGAGGAAGTTTCCCCGGAGAGGTGGAAAAAACGTTTTTAAAAAATTTTTAAAAACCCAAGGCCCAGTGGATTTTTTTTATATTTTTAGGGAAGGGTTTTTGTAAAAAAACCCTAAACACTTGAGAAGGTGGTGATGCGGAAGTGGGGGAAAAATTTTTTGTCCCGGGTAACGTCCCCTTACTGTTGGGGGGGGAAAAAGCGGTGGGGGGGGAGATGTTCATGTTGCTGCAGTCTGCAGTCTGACCGCTAGATGTCGCTAAAAGTTACACACTGTAGCCTTCAGTAATATTCTAATTTTGTGACACACAGAGTTTTGGATTTTCATTTGTTGCCACTTCAAATCATCAAAATTAAATGAAATAAACATTTGAATGCATCAGTCTGTGTGCAATGAATAAATATAACGTACAAGTTACACCTTTTGAATGCAATTACTGAAATAAATCAAGTTTTTCAAAATATTCTAATTTACTGGCTTTTACCTGTATATTGCTCCTTGCAGAATCAACATATCTGTATCAAATGAAAGATCAATTTCTGTGGAAATCAGCACAGTGAGGACCATGTTACATTTCTTTAGTGTTTAAAATAATTCAACCTGCACTGTAAAGTAAGAAGTACACCCGTAGGCATACAAGTTTTAAAGACCTCTATATATGCAATGATGCAGCAGTTGTGATCTTTCTCAGTGATCCATACAAAGTTTTCACTACCAGCTTGGTTCCTACCAACAGCCATTATCCTCCAGAACTTTTGTTGAATCAGAAGAGGAAACACACACAACCAAAAGACCTACCATAACAACCATAACAATTGACTTCAACTGAATAATAAAGTATTAATTTCATCTCCAATTTGTACCGTCTATCTAAACCAGTGGTTTTTAAACTTTTTCTGCAGGTCCCCCTTTTCCATGGTAGTTATAATGTTAAGCCCCCCCTCCCCGCCACCGGTATCACATGAAAAAATGCACAGAATCTGGCCAGGCACAATACCTTTTGTTCTGTGATAATTTGTTCATTAGTAGTTTAAAAAATGTAACAATTTTTTTGTTAGAAGAGCAAAAAAATTGCAGAACCACTGCTCTCAACCTAATCATCAAGTTATACCTGTCATGCATTATGTGACTTAGCCCTTGCCATTCGGTTTCCTCCTCTATCCCTTGCACCAATAAGCCACTTGGATGCTGCCTTTTCTGCCTCTTTTCTTGTAATCTGGCTGGTGAGAGCATTTCTTTTCAAACTGCCTGAAAAGAACAAAGAACAGGAGACTATATTCTACACTACAAAAAGTAAACTAAACATAAGTAAATAACTTATTAAAAATAAGTAGAACATGAATTTAATATTCTTGAAATAAGAGTATTTTGCCTTAATTTGGTAAATAAGATTATCTGTTAATGGAATGAGCATTTTTAAAATAAGATAATTATATATTACTATAAGATAACAGCTGCTCTAAGGAGTCCTTTGCAATATGAATATTCTGCACACTAATATTGTGATGCATTTCTATTTTATATTGTTGTTTTAATGTTTATTATGTTTTCAATGTCTGTGTACAGTGACCTTGTGTGTTTTGATAAGACGCTTTTAAATAAAATGCATTATTTTATTATATGTTATGCAGCCCTACTCTGTACATATTAGAAAGTTTTTATTCTCAACAAAGCCTGGTGTAAATAAAAGCATGTCATTCAAAGATTGTTAACTTCTGCTAATCTAATGTAAACAGTGTAATTTGAGTACTTCTTTTAATCTAGAAATACTTAAAAAATTAAGCATTTTTGTGCATGTAAACTTTAGCAAATGATGAAATTGTTTGGAATTACAACTAAAGTTTGAGTGAGAATCTATCTTTTGAACATCAAGATTTTGTAAAATATAATTCATAAGCTTACCATATAGCACTTCAAAAAGCTTAAGGCCTCTAAATTCCCGCTTTCCATGGCGCCCAATAAAGTTATATTCCCTAGAAAGGGGATTATCCATTATGAAAGCCATCATTCTTCTGGTAGCTTCATCAACTGTACTTCCTCCAATCTCTGCCACAACAGCAACCTTAGGACAAAAGATTAAATAAATTTTACTAATCGTACTTACAGTCAGCTAAAATTACAAAACTTCATCTACACAGTCATGACAATATTGAAATTATCTCAATTAGAGTGTTGAGTGTCAAGTCTAAAAGTCTGATGCAATGAGTTAAATGATAATGAACCAAAAAAAAAAAAGGATTGGTTTTGGCATTGCATTAATGACTAGGTAGCATTTACAGAAATAATAAAAAAAAAAAATCAACTTTTGTACATCTCTATCCACTCCTTCATTCCACTGAAAATGTTTGAATAAACAGCAACTCTCCTTGATTATACACAGGTGGTCGTAAAATTAAAAAAATTTAGGCACATAAAATTAAAAAAATGTAGGCACAGAATAATTCATATTTACCACTTCTTTCAGGAAGACAGGATCTAATAACTTTTGCTCCAGTGCTTCCACATCTTGGACTGTCTGGAGGGGAAACCGAGCACCCTCGGGTAACACAGCAGCAACTGGTCCATCGCGTTGTTTCAGCAGAGACTGTAGCATTCGACTATGAACCCTCTGAGTGTCTTTGATGTCCTCCAAAAGGGTTAGAACACGTACAAACATGTTGGCATTTGTGTCCTGTGCAAGTCGTCGTGGATTTGGTTGTGTAACCACAGGGGAAGGCCTTGTGGGTGTTGGTGGCTGAACAAATGGATGGGTGACATTCGGGTGGGGAGTTATCCTTGAAGATCTCTCCTCTGCTGATGACAGTGTTGAGGTTTCTTGTTGTTCTGCAGGATCGTCCCACTCATCTGAGCTGGACAGAACCACTGGCCTTTAAATAAATGAGAAAATTATTTAAAAACCATGAGATTTTGAATGCATTTAGGCACTGCTTATAGGTATAAAGATAAAGTAGCTGTGACAGACACCGTGGATGAGATAGCTAGTTTGAAACAAAACCGGCAAAGCAACACTACATTGGGCTACATCTGGTTTGTAGAAATTATATTTCCATTTTTTTACTAGAGCTACAACAGCAAAAAACTTAAATCTGATGTTAGTGTTTTGTTTTTTTTTATAATATTGATAATACACTGTTTCTTTTAGGTGCTTTTAAAAAGGAAATAATTACCTCCTCTTTCGCTTTCCTTTTCCCAATCTCCCTCCAGAATCTGACTCAGTCTGCAGATCAGATGTTGTCTCAGACCTCCGCAGTTTCACTCTGGCACTTTCATAGCTCTCTGTAAAAGAATAACATACAATACAAAACAGAATGTTGTTGATAATTACAGCAACATTTCTTCTTCTACCTTTAATGAAGAAATATTTGAAGATAATGAGGCTTCTCACCAGCTTTCCCCAAGATGCGAACTCTGTACTGTGGCCAGTCTGTATTTGGAGAGATTTCATCCCTTACCACCTTGTTGATATTTACTCTCCCTGGTGGCCAGAAACAAGAGTCTTCTGCTGGTCCTGTAAACCACTTGCAAGGAACAATGGATACACCCCCACCATCCAGAAAATCAACAACAGCAAATGGCAGCACGCTGGAGGGAAAGAAAAAGAAACATCTAGAACAGCAGTGGCAAAACTACAAATCCAGACTTCAGTGGCAACAGCACCATTTTTTGTTTCAACTTATCAACTGATACAACATGCATGTTTTTAGACAAATTTGCAACAAAGTAAATGCCAAGGCATGTTGAGTCCAATGGGTAGGTGAAAAAAGCATTACAGTTTTCAAAGACCTGACAGAGTGCTTTGACAGCTTGACCATCCTGTAAAATGTTTGTCACAATAACAATTCTTCCTCCTATATTGAAACAGTTATCACCCTTGGAACAACACACCAATATCTGTCCATCAGTGTATTTCCTGAACTGCTTACAGGTTCCAAGATCACTTGTTATTGGTCCAGAGTTATGAGGCTGTTTAAGAGGAGAGGAAACAGAAATATTTTTTCTTTTTTTTAAAAGTCTTTGTCTTTCATAGATGCGTTTGACAATTTGTTCCACTGGTTTCTGAGGTTTCCGCACAATTTTTCAGTTTTCCCAGGAAGGATTCAAATGGGAAGCAGGAAATGCTGTCCAAGGGGCCAAACTTTCGTGCATCTTGAGAAAGGTGTATTAAAGAATGTACATTATAGCCAACAAATTCAAGACCATAAATTAAACCAAAGTCTTTCACAAACAGCTTCAAAATATCCTCTACATAATCACAGTTATTAATACACAGATTCGGACTTAGAACTATTCTTATAGATACAGATAAAAGCATAAAGTGTCTATACATTTGGCTTGGTATTTTATTAAATAGAACAACTGGACCTGTGTAAAGTAGAAATTGCCTCAGTTCAGTTGCTTTCCACATGCTAATTTCAAGGAGAGACCTTGGTTTCCCTGCAAAACTTTTAGGCAAGTATTGCCTGACAGAAATCATAAATGCTGATATCATTGTAAGAATTTGCATAGACTGTCTGCAGTTTCTTGGACCCTTTAGCCAAAGATAGATGAGCTTGCGCATTACCCCCAGACACACAAGGTGCATGTAGTCCAGCACAAAACCGGATACTAACTTCACGCCTATCTCATTCAAAGGTGACACGCCAACCTGGTGTTCTTTGTAGGCCATAGCACAAAAGGCCTCATCAGTCCTTAGCTCAGCAGAAACTTCAGGAAAACATAGTCTTCGATTCATATATACACCTTTTTGAGTGCAACGCTCACATGCATAATAGCCAGTGTGTCCCTTAACAGATTTAAGAAAAGCACGAGCTGGAGCATCACAAATGAATGCATCTGGAGCAGCAACAGTGAAATGAACACCATTATACTGAACCCCCACTTGCATAATTGCATGTAGATCTTGTATAAACTCCTTCAAGTACTCATGAACATTAGAGGGTTTAGTCATACCAGAGTAAAGGCCAATCACAAAAACATCAGAATTTGGAATCTCCTTGATTCTACCAAGAATAGGCCACAGACTTACATTGTTGCTGCGGAATAAAGGTAGACCATCCACATTTATTCTAAGTGTTATAGTATCCGTTAGTTCTTTTAGATCAAAATCTAAATTTTCCAGTGCTGCAACAATTGAATTCTTCACTCCAAAATGGTAGTATGATCCCCCAGCCACATTTATCACATTACATTTCCGTGTAGTTGACATCAATGTTCGAGCATCTAATGGTACATTAAGACCTTTTTGCCTAAGAATTTTAAGAAGGGCAGACAAAGCATTATGTGAGACATTGTGTTCTGCAGCCCACTCAGCAAGTTCTTTTGTATCATCTGGTGTGTCTGAAAAAGCATCTGAATCTGTACTATCATCCAGATCAAACTCATTAAAATGACACCCCTCAGTTTCAAAGTCTTCTGGAAATATTTCAGAATCCAAAGCATCATAAAAAATATCTGTAGATTGTTCATTCTGTGAACTGACTTCAGTATCTTCGCTATCATGATGTATATCCTGAAGCGGTTCATTTACAAAATAATCAAAGTCTAGATCATGCTCTGCCTCATTCTGCTGGGAAGCAAGCCAAAAATGTTCAGCAACTTTTGCAGCTATTTTTCTTCTCTTTGTCCTCTCAGACTGCTCCATTTTTTTTCTAGAAAACAAAGGGTGTGGAATTAGAAAGGGGTAAAATGCAAAAATGTTTTGGTCACTTTGGTAACAACCTCCATAAGTTACACTATCACAAAGTCTTTAATCATGAACACTATCGACATACATTTACATGTAATCATATTTTCTTTGTCCAAATGTATAGCATTACTTGTGTTTTAGACATAAAGAAACAACCAGCTTCTGGTGGTGGGGGGGGGGGGGGGTGTTATTGCTGTTGTTGGTTTAAAAAAAAACTCAGATGCCAACTTGGGCACAGATCATTTATAAATTGAAATAAAAAAAAGCTGTCCAGTGCATCAATTAATTTTTCTTCCTCCAGCTCAGGGTTTCTTTTCATTTTTTTTTCTAAAGATTTTCTTTGTCCTTTCATTAGCTGTTCTAAACCCCCGCATCCTGTCTTTAAGTCAAACAGGCTTGGAACTTTCAACAACACCATCTCACAAGCAAATTACCACTGCTTTCCAGGAAAAGTCAACATTGCTATTGAAAAGAACAATACAGAAAATTCTTTGTCCCATTCGGTTCTTTATAACAACCTATTCATTTCTAACATATGGGTATAAAATTATAAGCAAAGGTGATAAAATGCACATTAAATATTAAACAGTCTGGACTACATTCTGCTCTACTGGATAAATTATACAGCCTGATATGCATTTTCTATGGTACAGCCACCTCCTTAGTCCTTAATTTTTTTTAAATTAACTTAGAACACTGTATTCCTCAAAAAAATCAGCGTTTCAAACTGGAATACATAGACAGATCTTAGAAACAATTTTAATCTGTTAAATGTATTTAAAAAAAATATATATATATTTTTTTTTATTTATTTTTTTTTTCTGGGAATGCAATTTTAATCTGTTAAATGTATTTATTTAAAAAAAAAATATATATATATATATATATATATATATATATATATATATATATATATATATATATATATATATATATATATATATATATATATATATATATATATGTGTGTGTGTTTTATGGGAATGCATTTTGTCTATTTACTGTTTATCTCTTGCATCATTTATATCTATGTTGAATACCAAATCAATCGTTCAACAGATTTAAAATAACCCTACTAAATCCATCTCTAGAGGTTTTTGGACAGACGGCTTAATAGGTATTTCTGATCTTACATTTAACATTTCTCTAAGACCATTAAACAGCCCACAATGTGCCACTGAAAAACACTCTGATCTATCATTTCCTTAGTACTCATACCCATCTAGCTGTTCAGTGAATTTACCTCTTCACTACTAACGCTGTTGTAGTGTATCTGATCCAGCAGGTGCGCGATACTTTGTTCGTAGGCAACATTCACAGCAGCGCATAAACTGGCCCGATCAGCTCCCGCCATTTTGCTAGATTTAATAATCCCTGCCACCTGCGCGACTCGACCCCATCCATAAACGGAAACGAGGGATGGATTTTTTTTTTTTCTTTTATTGTTGCTAGGCTTAATGGTGATGTGTTTGAGTGCAACGGATAGACATTTATGGATGAAAATAAGGAACAGATTGAAGAAGATGCCAAATAAAAAGAGACTCCATGATTATATTTTTCAAGGGGAAAATCACAATTTTCTAGGAGGTAACCAGCACAAACTTTAATGCTCAGACATGAAAAAGCATTTATGGATAAGCCTGGACCTAACAAATTCGTGCATGTTCTGACTACGAATCCTCCCTTTTTTTAATAGGTTAAAAAATAAAAAATAAAAATACCTTTCTTTACAACCTTAGCACGTTTCAATAATTTCTGATATACATAGATTCAAGAGAAATAAAAAAAAAAACAACTTACCTTTACAGCAGAAAACTTGTTCTTTTATTCCACTTTGTCCAGGAAAAATACCAGCTCTCTTAACGTTCACTCCGTCCAAAGGCGCGAAAAGAATCTTCCAGAGGGGAGGGGGTTGAAAACAACTCGCGATATTTCCAGAAATATCGCGCGCATAAAAAAAATACCTCTAGATATAAAATATCTTTAACTCAGTTTTGAATTATAATTTTTTTCCTAGAAGCATCTTACAATTTACAATATGTTTTTTATGTGGATCACTATTATATTCTATACTTTTATTAATCAAATATTGATTTAAGCATAGCTGTTTTAATATCTTAAATTATGGCGCCCCTGCATAATTTATTAGACATTAGGGCCTATTCCATTAATTATTTTCAAATTAAAACATTTTTAAAAATTATATTTAAGTCAGCTATACCAACACTTATTTCCCAGTTGTTACCCATCTGGTGCCCATAGAGTATTGCCCATCTGGGCTGGCTCATATCGGTCCTACATTGATCACCCAAGTGGGTCCCACTTTGGATGCCCATTTACAGCCCATGCCCACTTGGATCCCCCATTGACCAAGTAAATCCCATGTGGGGCCCACACACATGTGTTTGCTGGGTATGGGATGAAGGTGGAGTCTGATGGAGGAGTGCACCCTGTAGGGGTTGCCCATTCAAACCCCAGCTCTGGCTGTCTCTGTCATTGTGTCCTTGGGCAAGGCACTGTGCCCTCATTGCCTTCTGATGGTTGTTAGGAGGCATGGTGGCTCCTGTGTATGGCAGCCTCCAGAATTGGTGTTTTCTGGCTCTTCTTTTATCCAATCACCTTCATCTTTCTCTTCCCTCACAGATTCTCTCTCACAGATTCTCTCTCTTAAAATGGTAATGTTTGCCATTAATGTGACTGCTTAATTTTGAAATCAAACAGTAGGATAAAAAAATTATCTTACTATATTTATCTTTATTCAACTCATTTTAAGCACATTTAACTGAACCTTTATTAAGCTTTTATCTCATATTCTCAGTGTATCTGAACAAGAAGGAACAAGTTAGATCTGTTTGCTTTTCAATGTTTGTTTATTTACTTACATGACTGACCTTTCTTAATGCTCTAACATCTAATGTTTCTTGCTGAATAGGGTTTATAGCTCAGGTTTCAACACTATCTTATGTAACCATATGTTTCTTTCTTTAGAAAAGCTGCATTCTTGCAAAAAAAAAAAAAAAAAGTGAGTGGTGAAACATAACGCTACCTAATTAACACCTGAATCTCATCATATGACTGCAAGTAAGAGAGAGAAGGCAAAGTTAAGTTAAAAAGATCAGCTACCAGAGAAGGTGTGATCAAGCGGTGCTGATATGGAAATCAGGACTTTAATTATAGATGAATTAATTATCAGATCAGGTTTAAGAATGTGTACAGCCTATGTTATGTTTAGAGATTGGCTGATATGAAATCGTCTGCACAGACAGATCTTTACAAACATATCTTTATGAGTTCTTTTACAAGTCAGAATAAAGTTTTCATTCAATCTTCATGCTTAATATGACTATTATATTGCATTTATTGACTGATAATTTTATCGAGAGCCATAAAACTACTCCTTGAGCTTCCTAAAATGAATTACAAGCTCTGCAGAAGGTTAAAGTCACTGATTTGATTTGGTTGAACAATTCCTTATAGTGTTTTTGTCTTAATGGAGAATGAGATCTGCGTTTTTAGTCACTCGTTTGGGATAAATATTTGATTTTTAACTGCAAATGTGATTTTTCGTCGTAATGGATCCTCGTCTTTTTGGCACACAGAAAATGTAATAGAAGATAAAATACTAGAAAAAGAAAACTTCACATGTTTACTTTGTTTTTTCGGGATGCAACAAAATTGATCTGTGGATAAAATTAACATTAAATGAAATATTGTGGAACTACCCTGCTAGATGCAACATATGAACAGTCACAATATTATTACATGAACTGAATGCTTGATTTGCATTTTACATTGAACTTTGCATTTTAGGATGACACTCTCAAACTGCATTTGAGGGCCTTTTTATGGACGACTTGTGGTCAGGACATACATTTAATGAGTTATTACCTTTTAAAACAAAATGAAAGATACCAAAAAGATTTTTTAGTCTTTCATGATATACACCGAGGCTCTGTATAAGAAAGGTCAGAGCAGACTCTTTCTGCTGAGGAGACTGAGGTCTTTCGGAGTGCAGGGGGCGCTCCTAAAGACCCTCAATGAGTCTGTTGTGGCACCAGCCATCTTCTATGGAGCTGTCTGTTGGAGCAGTGGCTTATCTGTAGCTGAGAGACAGTTGCTGGATAAGCTGATCAGGAAGGCCAGCTCTGTGATTGGATGCCCTCTGGACTCAGTGCAAGAGGTGGGAAACAAAAGGATCCTAACTAAATTAACATCCCTGTTCGATTATGTCTCCCACCCCCTGCATGAAGCTGTTGCAGATCAGGAGAGCTCCTTCAGTGACAGACTGCTGCACCCCTAAATGTACCAGGGAGTGTTATCACAGATCCTTCCTCCCAGCAGCTGTAAGACTATAACCAGCACTGTTCCCAACAACCTCAATAAGTTGTTACATTCATGCTGATTTTGCACATTTTCTACCTTAGTCAGTTAAATAACATGCTTCTGTCATTTTGCACATCTCTGATGTTGCTACAATTTTCAAATATCCATTACTGTAAAAAAGATATTCATAGCTATATATTGATTATTTATTCTTGAGGTGCACAATTTTTATATTATTAAAACACTTTGCAGTACAGTATTTTATTGTTTATCTTTTAACTCTTCACTATTATGTTATTCTTCTACATTTCTCTAAGGTCCACATTTGTGTGACAATTTTTCTATTATCATTTTCCTACTGTAAACACCAAAATTTTCCCTAGGGGAACAATAAAGTGATTTTCCATTCTATTCTATTCTATTCTGTTCTACATATTAAATTACCACCAATTTATTAACTTTCCGCCTAAATTTAACTGGCAAGCTAATGAAAATTGCCCCAGGCCCCCATCTTCATAGTCTACTGTAAGAACAGCCTGAGTAAAATCAATATTTGCTCCATGCAGGGAAATTCAAGACCCCTTAAAATTTCAACGGTCAGGACAAACTAACAGAGCCAATTGCTTCAACTCTGTGGAATTACACTTTGGGGATTGGGAAGTGAAAGTGCTAATTAAACCAGTAAATTCTCTCTAGGCCTCTTTTGCCTGCTGCTGCACCTGTGCCACTTCAGTCTTCAACCTCACAGTGTGAAGCCTTTAAGCAGCTAAAAACGCCCAATAAAATCCAGACTGTTAGGTTTCTTTCTATCATTGAACCATGCTCATAATCTTCAACCAGTATTTTTAAAGGTCCATTGATCTTAATTCACACCAGATGGCATTGAAAAACCAAAATCAACGAGAACAGGAGTTTGCATAATAAGTTATGAGTAAATAAGGGTGACGACGCATTGAAAACCTTTAATAAAAAACATTTTCAAACAAAAACATCCACGTTTAGACACTGACATTGTCAACATCGCTCCAGAATAAACTCCTTCAAATTGTATTGAAAGTTCAATCTCCCACTTACAGGTGCTGGTCATAAAATTAGAATATCATGAAAAAGTAGAATGATTTCAGTAATTCCATTTAAAAAGTGAAACTTGTATATTATATTCATACATTACATACAAACTCATATATTTCAGATGTTTAGTTTGTTTAATTTTGATGATTACAAATGACAACAAATGAAAATCTCAAATTCATCATATCAGAAAATTAGAATATTACTGAAGACCAATAAAAACAAAGGATTTATAGAAATGTTGGCCAACTGAAAAGTATGAACATGAAAAGTATGAGCATGTACAGCACTCAGTATTTAGTTGGGCCTCCTTTGGCCTGTATTACTGCAGCAATGCGGCGTGGCATGGAGTCGATCAGTCTGTGGCACTGCTCAGGTGTTATGATAGCCCAGGTTGCTCTAATAGTGGCTTTTAGCTCTTCTGAATTGTTGGGTCTGGTGTATTGCATCTTCTTCTTCACAATACCCCATAGATTTTCTATGGGGTTAAGGTCAGGAGAGTTTGCTGGCCAATTAAGAACAGGGATACCATGGTCCTTCAACCAGGTACTGGTAGCTTTGGCACTGTGTGCAGGTGCCAAGTCCTGTTGGAAAATGAAATCTGCATCTCCAAAAAGTTGGTCAGCTGCAGGAAGCATGAAGTGCTCTAAAACTTCCTGGTATGTGGCTGCGTTGACCCTGGACCTCAGAAAACACAATGGACCAACACCAGCAGATGACATGGCACCCCAAACCATCACTGACTGTGGAAACTTTACACTGGACTTCAAGCAACGTGGATGAAGTGCCTCTCTTCTTTTCCTCCAGACTCTGGGACCTTGATTTCCAAAGGAAATGCAAAATTTACTTTCATCAGAGAACATGACTTTGGACCACTCACCAGCAGTCCAGTCCTGTTTCTCTTTAGCCCAGGCAAGACGCTTCTGACGCTGTCTGTGGTT